AAAAAAAAAAAACAAACAAAACAACAAAAGATAAGAAGAGAAAGTGCACAGAATAGATGAGCCTCTTTCTCTACAGAAAACGAGTGCCTCAGGTTTGATTCCCAGAAGCAGGTATTACAGAGCAGAGTTCCTGCGAAGATCCCAGCTCCTCAGCTGGAAAGCAGTGATGGGTATCATTATGCTACAGATATGGAGTGTAACAAGTACTAATTGCAAGTCCTATAGTGTTTTACTCTCCACTGTCTCCCTCCCCAACTACTTGCTAATTCTCCCTTTATTCACTCAGTCCAGTATATTTTATCAGAGTTAAGATTGTCCCCACTGCTTTCTTCTCCCTTACATCCCTTCTATTGAACCCTGCAAAAAAATTTCCTATCTCAACCCTTAGACTTCTGAGGGACACTTGCAGATTCTTCTAGAGACTCCTCTGTGTAGTATAGACAGGGAAGGATGGAAATAAGAGCCTCTTCGATGGAGAAGAGATGTTTATCCTCTGCTTGAGGACAGAAGTAGCGCATAAAGTCTGCCAGCCTCAGCAAGTACTCTATGTTATGACCAGCACAACCACTTGAGACAATGATTTGAGCTGCAATGTCCTCTTCAGATGCTGGGCCGAGGTAAGAAGGGTTCTGGGGTGTTGCAATGTAAACAAGAGCCAGGATGGGTTCCTCTGCATCTTTCTCCTGAGGGTGGAACTTCACCAGCTTGGTGTCATAGCCTCCCAGGACAGCTTCTCGCATGTTGAGATACTCGAGCGATGCAGCAATTTGTTCCCCACGGACTTCATAGGCTACACCCCACGTGCATGCCTAGAAGTCAAAGAGCAGGGTGGTTAGAGATGCTGTAAGCGCACTGGCCTGTCTAGCCGCCGCTAATGTTTCAAAACAAGGCTCCCTTACTCCGGGGGGTCTCCGCACAAGGCAGAGAAGGGCAGAGAAGGGTAACACACCGCACAACCCCCCAGGATCCCGGCGGGGCTCAGGAGCGCTCGGCTGCCACCGCGCCTTTCCAGGTGTGATGCCCCCCGCCCAGGCAGCCCCCAGCGCCCCGGTACTCACCCCGCGGTCCTCCAGCAGCGTCACCACCCGGCCGGGCTGTGGGCACGGAAAAGCAGCGCCGTTAGAGCCCAGCCGCGACACCGCGCCCCGCGCCCCGCGCCGCCCGCCTTACCGTCTTCTCGCTGCCGCGGTGGAAGGTGTCCCCCTGCCAGAAGCGGCGGCTGTACCCGCGGATGAAGCCCACCTTGCGCGACGTGAACTCGAAGCCCGGCCTCCACACCAGCGAGCCGTACCCGAAGATCCACACCGGCGCCGCCAGCTCCGCGCCCTCCGCCCGCCCCGAGGGCGAGGAGGGGGACAGGAGCGGGCGTGGCGGCGGCTCCGGGCGCTCCTCGGGGCGCTGCGGGTCGCGCTTCATGCCGGGCTGCGGCTGCGGGCGGTGCGGGGGCTCGGCCGCCGCGGCGCTTTAAAGGCGGCCCGGGCCGGCCGCCCCGCCCCGCCCCGCCCGGGTGATGCAAGGCGGGCGGGAGGTGTCGCGGCGCCGCGTGGGGCAAAGCGGGCCGCGGGTTGCGTCAGGCGGGAGCCCGGGCCGGGGTCGGCCCGTCCGGCGGCGCCGGGTGCGAGATGCCCCCGGGGATGCCGCGGGATCGGCCGCTGCCAGAACCCAGAGGCCCGCAAGGGAGAAGCTGCGCTGGAATGAGCGGGCCGGCCCCTCCTCGGGAGCCTGCCTCCCACTCCCGGCTGTGGCTTTACTCTAGAACCTGAGGTGCTGCGTTGAAAACCATGGGAACTGCTGGAAAACCAGGCAGTTAATGCTTAACAGGGTGGCGCGACAGCACCTGACATCCGCAGGGCCAAGGTGTAAGGCACATAGACAAAACGGAATAATAATATCCACACTAATGCGAGGACGTGGTGCTGAATCCAGCTACGTGAGTGCATTTTCCCTAGTACTATATCCAGGCTGGAGTGTCACCTTGTAATACGTAACATTTGTTACGTGGAGGGATGCAAGTGTTGTCTGTGTGTGGGATAGACACCCAGCTGTCAACCAGCTCTTGCCAAGTTGTGACAACCAAAGAGGTCCCTTTTTACATTACAAAGTGACTCCTTTTGGTGAGAGGAGGAGAAACAATCAGAAGCAAAATCACCAAAGTGTTTCTCATGATGGTTCTTGTCCTTTGCACTTAATCAATCTAAACCGTCTATTTACAGTCTTTTATTTAGTTTCCTGTTGGTCCCCATCCAACTGGCACCCACCTTTCCATTCCACTTAATAGGGCGTTGCAGCTGCAACACCCGCGGTCTGTGGTGGGCGCTCCCTGCGCTGTGGTGTGCTCGCCACGGGTGACAAGAGCCTGCATGGCTCTCACATCTGCACTCCTGTTCTGTGCCTCACACAGCACATCCTTTTCTCCTGCCCTGCACGAATGACTCTCTGACTTGTCACCGTGGGTGACCCTTAACAAGGTCAGCCTCGTTACGGAGCCCAAAGCTCCTTCATTTTCCTCTCCACTTGCGCTTTCCCCGGTCACCTTCTCTGTCTTACTCAGGCTCAAAGGCATGGGGTTGGCATGGCATGCTCCCAGCCCTTCACACCACACACCCATGCTGGCACAGGCTTGCAGCCTCTTAATCCTTTTCTGGTGGTCCCTTTCCACAGGCAGAAGGTGAATCCGTCTCCTGTCTGTACAGCTGCTCTCTTCAGAGTCCTTAGTCAGACCAGAAAATGCTCCAGAAACTGTTATCAGCTGTTTGTATCAAAGCTCCACCGTGCAAAACAAGAAATTAATCTCTAGTTTTATATTTTTTTCAGTCTTAGGGTTCTTGTCCCCTAACATACAAGATTCCTGCCTTAGCAGGAATTTTTCAGTGCTAAAATGATGTGGCCTTTCAATCAAATGAAACCAGTGTCCTCTGGCAATTAAACCAGTCTTCTGTGTCTCATTGTATATGTAAGGCAAGTGTATATTTTTCATATTTAGTTCTTTACTTTTTGTTTCCTGCTAAAATCAAGGATATTTGAGCAAACTCCCAATATGTAGTTAATAAAAGCATTAAAACACTTGTCTGTAGGTGCATCCTCATTATTAAGAGCACAAAAAGAGACAAATCAGTCTGAAAGATAAGATGAAAATCTTGCTAGGTTCTGGTCTCAGTGACACCAATAAAAAAAAAAAGTCTGACCTCTTTCTTCGGCTTTTTCCAGGATGTGAATTTTATCCATTTTCTTGGTTTGTTCAGTCTGGAGGAGACTGAGGGGAGACCTCATTGTGATCTTCAACATCCTCATGAGGGGAAGCAAAGGGGCAAGTGTCAGTCTCTTCACTCTCACGACCAGGGACAGGACTTGAGGAAAAATCATAAAGCTGAGTCAGGGGAGATTTTGGTTGGATATCAGGAAAATGTTTTTCATCCAAAAGTAGCTGAGCAATGAGACAGGCTTCCCAAGGAAGTGGTCACAGGACCAGGCCTGTCTGGGTTCAAGAAGTGTTTGAATAACACTCTAAGGCACAGGGTGTGATTCTTGGGGTCAGGGCCAGGAGTTGGACTCGATGATCCTGATGGGTCCCTTCCAACTCAGCATCTTCTGTGATTGTGTGATCCGAGAAATGCACTGAATTATGCATGTGTGACAAATGAAGCTCTAGGTATCTTATCTGCTGGTACTAAGCTAAGGAAAATTGGACCAAGAAATTCAAAATTATATTACTGGGAAGTGACTCCATGCTTGCTGATGAAGGAGAAAAATTGCTCCTTTCCTTTGCAGAGCTGTCTCATTTGTGTGTCTACCTTTGCTAAAAGGCTCTGCTGCATGGCTAAGCCAGATTTGCAATGGAGAGCCAATGTGTACAGCAAAAGCCTCAGGGGACCAGCTTCAAATCTCACACCAGTTAAAGACTACAGGTCACTGCTGCCTGCAGTGCTGTACAACCAGATCAATGAGGTGTGAGGTTCAAAATGCCTTTTCAACGCCTTCCCTGATTTTCTTGTGTAAATTGGGATATTGCTCCATCATTAGGAGAACAGCCTGAGGGAAGACTTTAACTGAAGTTGTACCATATACAGCAAGAGGTTAAGAATTTGTTGTTTCAAGATTTCTTTCATTCATTTATTGACTGTACCTTCACTGTACTTTGGTTAAATAAACTAAGGACACGAGGAACACCAGGGGCAAATGCCTGAGCAGAAAAGGTGTCTTGCAGGCAGTGTAGGTGCAGGTATGTAAGTGAAGCAGGTGGGTAAAAGGAGATGGCTGGAGCTTGTGTTCAAAAGGCCAGGGCAGCAGCCTGCCAAACTGAGCCACAGGAATGTTCAAACAGGTATGAGAGAGGTTGTGGAGCAGCAGTGGAGTTAGCTGTTAGGGAATATGATGTAGATTTTGTAGTACAACAAAAGGAGATGGAAAAAAGCCATAGAATTTCAGCAGTTTGAAAGTGCCTAAGGGAAAAAAGAAATTGAATATAATGGTCATACTCTGTTAATACCATGAAAAAAAAAAAAAAAAAAAAAAAAAAAACCAGCAGTAAGAATGTTTGCTCTGCCCTGGAACCTTTGGGATAAAGGCAATCATAGCTTTATTTGTTACTCCTGAAACAAGTTTTTCCATGTTTCAGGAAAAGGAGGAGCTAGTTTCTCTTCAGCAGTATGTGCTGTGCTTCCCCGGAGCAAGCACTCCTATGTTAGTGTGGGGTGACCAGCAGTGCCAGGGCTGCCTGTTTTTCGGGATACTGGTGAATCACTTTAGAGCCAGAGCAACCAGCAGCAGGGCTGGCATGACACATAGCAGTGGCTTGTGTGTCAGGCTCTTATTTACTTTAGTAAACTGAGGGCACATACTGGGTCTTACCAAAAGTTGATCTGTTCAGAAAATATTAGCTGGGGATAGGAGGATTGCCAGATCATTTCCGGATACCACACATCTTCCAAAAGCTTGGCACTGCTTTCCTCTCTACAATGAGCAGACAGGAGAATATAAAGACTAATTATCCTCTTTTCCTGATGGCTTCAGTAAAGATTAAAGCTACTGGACTTGGAGATGAAGTTCAAACAATGCCACAGACTTTATAAAAAAATGTAAAACGGTGCTATTCACCTGATATTCACAAAGCCACATCCACGTGCATCACAGGGGGCTTACTCACTGCTGTTTGAGGAATCCAATTCTTATGGCATTCACAAATCCCCTCCAGATGTGAACACTTACCATAGAAACATGCAGTCAGCCTTGTTTCAAACATGGAAATGCAGAAGCTACATTGTCAAAGCTTCTGTATTAAAAACTGGGGATCAGGAAAGGCATATATAACAGTAGGAAATAGGTGTATTTGAATTTGTTTACTGCATTCAAAGGGAACACACTTCCATTGTTAAATGCATTAACTCATGGGGTTAAATACAGTCTTGAACAAAGAGAACTAAAAATGGCAAAGGACATACCAGTATGTTAGAGAGAACAAATGTAAAATCCAGAGGAAAAAGTACTGTAAGGACATCAGACTGAAAAACAAGTCCAGGACAAGGTGGTAATTTGGGTGATTCTTCTGCAGGACAGAACTTGAACTGATGCTGACCTACTCCACATTTAGTCTGTTTACCCCATGATTGCAACAGCTCTGACTGCTGTCAGCTGTCTTGGGAGATTTTGCAGTGTCCCCAGTTCACAGATGAGAATGACAAACTTGATGGAGACATTACAAACTTGATTTGTATTTGAATTAGTTATCTGAGGGGAAAAATAAATCAATATATCTAATGAGTCTTTTAACATGCCATCAATATTCAACCAGTGGCTTGGTAGTTGGATGAGGGCTCCCTTAAGAAACCCAGCACTGTCATTTTGGCTTTTGAGTTGTATACCAGTGTGATCTGCTGCACAATGGGTTTTGCTGAGTTGCCCCACCCTGTTCTCACTTCAAGCTAGTGGGCAGTTTTGACTCCTCTGGCAGGAGCTGGACTTGATTCCTCTGGTCATCCTGTCCCTCTCTCATATTCTGTGTTGCTGACAAAGTCCCTCCCAGCACTAGTACATAAAAAAATTATCTATAAAGAATTAGAACTACAATTTCAGATTTGTTTTTTTACTAGGTAAAGGTAGATATAGTGAGCAGAGACTGAAGAAACTGTGTAGAGTTGTAGCAGCTTAGGGAATTTTTCCTCCCTTCAGGGTAGGAAAGAATCTCAAACAGTTCATACTAGCTTAGCTTGAGAGACAAACAAATTGGACATTGAACTTAAAATCAGAGTACAGACTTGTGGAAACTCCTTTTGCTTGAGCCCACGGCATCCCAAACCCAGGTGCTCACCTGAGTGCCATGCTGTGAATCATGGACTAGACTGGCTCATCTTTTGGTACAGGATAACCTCTGCTCTGCTCCCATGGCCTCTCTGCTGCCAAACACTAGAGGGACATTTTGAGGGGTCATGTGGATGTCCACATTGGCAGCTTTAAGATGAGAC